TCTCTCTCTCTCTCTCTCTCTCTCTGTGTATCTCTCTCTCTCTTGGAAGAAGGCAGAAATGAGATATTATAAACCATGTGTTCTAAGTTCTTGTTATTTTTTCTTTTCTTTTCAGGGGGCACAAGATTATAATGCGCTCTGCTGTAGATATTTCACGACGCTAACCAGTTCGGATATGCAATGTAATTGAACAGAATGCTTTTTCGGTTGATTCATGTAAATTTATTTACATAAGTACAAAAGAAACCCAGCCCACCACAAAAAATACACATGGATCAAGGTACCATTTATTTTTAAACATTACATGTTTATCTGTAGGCCTACTGTAATTCTCTTGTGCTCTCTGTCAGAAAGTTGCGGAAAACATCCATGGATTTGCAATAGATATATTGTGACGAGAACTACAATATACTAGGCTATGTATCTCAAGCCTTAAAATGTTATCTCAGAGACAGAGGTAAAATGCATCAAATTTAGAGGAGCATTTTTAATCGCAGTTGGCTCGGCTACATCCTCGGTTTCTGTAGGAGACTATATTATTATACCACGTTGAAAGGCGCTGCAAGAATCTTTAGGGGAGGCGAAGACCAGGTCCATACTAAAAAGGTAAGTGGGCAAGGTAATCAAGAATTTTTACTGAGCAGACCTATAGAAGTGTTCCTTCTTACTTTATCCATCCATCTTTCATTAATTAAGATGAAAATAAGAAAAATTAAATAATTTTAAGCTCATGTTTATTGTGTTACAATTCTTTGTTATTCTTGGTAATCTTTCATTCTTTTGCCCGAAAATGAAGTATCGGATACAAACCAAACCGGAAATGCAAACCGCCACCAGTTCTGTAAAACTAAATACTACACCAAACAAAAATAAAGCAATAAGTCTCTCGAGTGAATCCTAAACAAGGTGAAGCAAAATAATTAATGTTTTGTAAAATCCTGTTATTACTCCTTGATAAACCTTGCACTCACCCTATTCATCTAGATCTGCACAATAATAGTACTATGAGAAGAGTAGACAATTTTGTTGGAAATTAGAATACTATAGTAACCTAGGCTACACATTAATTATACACCATATAGATCTAATGTAGGCTACACAAATTATGCTGTTTTAAAAAGAATAAGTAGTCCTATAGCGCATAATTTTGACATCTTTTTTAAGGTTAAAAAGAAATCCGTTAAACTATATCATTTTACAAAGATTTGCTCTAGATTCATAATTATTGTGGGTGCTCCCATAGTGTGTGTGTGTGTGTGTGTGTGTGTGTGTGTGTGTGTGTGTATGTGTGTTTGTGTGTGTGTATGTGTGTGTGTGTGTGTGTGTGTGTATTAAGTGTGTGTGTCGGCGTCCCAGAACTATATTCGCCAAGAACAAGAAGGATGCAGTAATTAAACAATGAAGCGACAATTAACACACCGGTACCACTCGCCGAGGGTTCACTGCGGCGGCCTTTTCGACTGCACCCAATCCGCCTTTATAAAAAAATCAATCTTCTAGCTTTGTAAACCATAGGACTTCAAATCCCGAATAAGGTTGGCTACCCGATGTTCCGAAGTGACGGACTGGGCACAATACATGCATGGTTAAATGGAGGGGAAGACAGGGATGGGGATAGTCGAGGGGATGGGAAGTATAGCTGGAGTTTGCTCAATTAATCGAAGGCTTGCGGGCAGCGGACGGCTTGCGCTAGAGGCTTGCGAGCAGGCTTGTGCTTTGTTTTGCCTCCCGCTCGCTACCGGGGGGAACTTCCGGTGAGTTGTGACTCGCGGACAGGCTTGCTGTACTGTGTCGTGACGTCACGAACTCTCATGGCTGTGGGCTCAGTACATATTATGATATTACAGAAGATTCTGATTATTTGCGTTGAGAGGCTTGCACCAAAAGTGCAAGATTGTTGTTTTTTTCCACAGTCGGGATGTACAAAATAAAAAGCTCTATTCAATGCACTTAAAAATTAATAATGGATCGGCTATTCTTACGATGCAAAGGCCTGTTTGTTTTTCATTTGCACGGGCCAAGCGCTTCGTCGTCCCACGCAAAAGACCTCAGTTCGATTCCCGTATGGGGAGCAATTCTTACTGAGAACCTCCGTCTTTCAGCTGGGGCGTTGTTCCCTCTCAGCCCAGGTTGGCCCTGACATTGGGTTGAAGTAGGCCTAGCCCGTCTCCTAAATGTTTCTGTATTATGTCACTGTGAGTGTAAAACATCTACAAAATAGGTTACATACTTACGATACAAAAGCCAATAACAATTACCCCTGGAGTTTTCCATTCTATGGTAATCTAAGTCTACTTGTTCTTATTACTACCAGAAACCTGGGTCTCTGTTATTACAATACCACGCTCCCTCTCACTTATCTACTCGCAAAGCTGATCAATGGCGGGAAGTTAAATATAGCTTTGGTTCTCTATGTCTTGCACCAAAACAAGCACTGCCTCTCCCAACCTCCACAGTTCAGAGTTCACTCTCTCTCTCTCTCTCTC